TAGTGGTCTCTGCACGGCCCTGATGGGCTCATTTCATTCTCACTAAAAAAGAAAGACACCAGGGCAGGTAAAGCGAGCGCCCCTCACCTGAAGGCCTTGGACTTCCTCTGGGTCGCCTCCAGCCTCTGGATCCTGCAGGTGAGCTGCCTGATCCGTCCCTCCAGCTCCGCCTCACTCAGGTCCACTCTCTGGGTCAGGCGGCTAAAGGTGGAGGTCAGCTCCCTCACAGAGAAAAAACATGGCCGCCATCAGAACCGCCAGCAGAACTGCCGGCGGGTTCCGTAGGGGCGGGGCTTACTTGAACACCTGCTGACTGCAGGTGGAGCTGGTGACGGGGACGACAGCGCGGAGGCGGAAGGCGGCGAACTCTGTGAACTGCTGCTTCAGAGCGCGCTCCTGGCTGGAGGCCGTCCAGGTGAGTCTCTCATACAGGTAGAGCAAACCGTAGAGGGAGACGGACAGGGCGACGACCCGCCAGCCCACCGAGCGCCACACCTGGACACACACCGCAGCTAGGACACACACACACCTGGACACACACCGCAGCTAGGACACACACACACCTGGACACACACACTTTGATTGATCCCAGCTGTGTCTAGTTCCCTTGGTACCTTGTGTATTTATACCCACTCTGTCAGGTCCTTGTCTGTCTGGTTTCTCTTCTCTGCCGTCTGTTTACTGATTACCAGTTGCTACAGAGGCTAGACCAGGGGTGGCAGCTCCAGGCCTGGAGGGCCTCCTGCACCCTGTAGATGTGTCTCTACTTCAACACACCTGAGTCAAATAATGAGGTCGTCAGCAGAACCTGATGCACTGAGGAGGAGATTCAGCTGCTGGATCCAGGTGTGTTGGACCAGGGAGTCTAAGAGCTGCAGGACTCGGACCTCCAGGACCAGGACTGCCCAGCCCTGCTGTAGCTCCCAGCTTTTGCTCCTCTGTGCTGCCTGGATTTTTGTGTTTTTCCTTCATTAAACCACCATCATCTTCAACTTCCTGGGTCCTACCGCGTTTACCCTCACCACTTCATGACACTAGTACTATTTATCGCCCAATTTCATTATAATGATTTCTATAATGATGATGATGATGATGATTATTAGGACACACACACCTGGACACACACACTGCAGCTACAGGACATGTCCAGGTGTGTCCAGAGCTGCATTGTCTCTCTGTCTCACCGGCAGAACAAGGAGACGAAGTGGACGGTTCTGGACCTGTCCGGTTTGGACTCACCACGCCCCCGATCAGCAGCACCGCCATGGACGCCCTGGAGGACACCGACACCAGGCTCGTTGCCATGGAAACCACCAGCCGGTCCTTGAGGGATGGTCCGTCCTGCAGACAGAGCGGCGTCTCAGCGGCCCGTCCCGCAGGACGTCCCGTCCACCGGGCGGTGCTCACCTCGGGGACAGTCAGCGCCCGGCGGGCGCCTGCGGTGCCGACGAAGCGGGTCACCAGGGCGGTCCAGCCCAAGGAGAACCGGAAGTCGATATCCTCCCTGAAGTCGGCGCAGAGGGCGGCCAGGCTGAGGTCAAAGGTCATCTCGAAGGACGAGGACGGAGCACAGAGCTGCTGCTGGACGGACGGCGACACCAGTGGACGCACGCTGTCTGGGGACGGACAGGACACGATCAGACGGACGGCCTCTCCCGGGTCAGAACCAGAACCAGGACGGCTCAGTACCGGTCATGAGTCTCTGGGCGTCCCGGATGTCCCTGAGGACGTCGCCATGGCAACGATGGGCCAGACCGCCAGAGAGACGCTGCTCCAGGTGCTGCACCAACTTCTGCAGAACCGGGACAGAACCGGGTCAGTACCGGGTCATGGAGGTTCTGGGTCCGGACGGGTTGGATGGGTTCTGGGTCTGCAGCAGGTCAGTGAGCACCAGGGCGCCCCCTGCTGGCCCGGTGGGCTCTGCCTTTTCTCACCAGCAGAACCACCAAGGTCCGATTGGTTCTGACAGGTGGCTCCCCTTTAAACCGACTGGACCCGGTCCGGCTCGGCCCAGGAACCCAGAACCTCATCAGATCCTGTGGGCTCCAGAACTCACACTTTTGTAGAGCTCCAGGTTCTCTGGGGTCGGGCTGAAGTCGGCCCGGAACTCCTCCACCAGAACCGGCAGGGAATGGATCTGGTCCAGCAGCGCCGAGGCCACCTGGGGCGCAGACAGGCACTGGTTACCATGGAAACCACACAGAGACGGGTCCAATGGCGGCAGTAACCGGAACCAGAACCCAGGTTCTGCCGGTCGGGGGAACCTTGGCGGTGACGTCGTCCGTCAGGGTTCTGATCCGGTTCTTCACGCTGTCGCTCAGACGGCTCATCTGACCCCGGACGAAGTCCAGCCGGTCCCGCTGCTCCTCCCGCTCCTCCAGACAGCAGATCCTGTCAGAGGTCAGAGGTCAGAGGGGCTCCCACTGAGCGCGCTCAGAGGGTCACCTGACTGATCTCACTTCCTGTCGGCCGATGCGATGTTGATGGCGTCCATGACGGTCTTGATGTCCTCGGTGATCTGCCACGCCCGCACCGTGTGCTGCTCGAACTTGGTCCGGACCGCCGACTGAGAGATGAACTCCTGTACACACAGAACTGGGTCAGAACCGAGTCAGATCCGGGTCAGGATTAGAACAAATGGATCAGGATGGGGTTCTGGGGTTCTAGATTCTGTGGTTCTAGATTCTGTGGTTCTAGATTCTGTGGTTCTGGACCTCGAAGGTTCTCTCGAACTGCTGGAACTCGGTCAGCCGGTCCTGGAAGCCTTCAGCCAGAGCGCCCCCTGCAGGACGATCAGTGATGGTCAGCTCCCTGCCAGGCTAATGCTAAGTGTTGTTTTTATTTTAAAGTAATTTTATTTTATGGCCCATTTTCAGGAACAAGGCAGTTTACAGTGAAAACAGGAATTAGAAGGAGAAACAACAAAACAGAAAAGAACAAAGTCAGACCCGTTTAAGAAGAAGAAGTTCATGAACCAGTCGGGTTTCCTGGATTCTTGTTCTGATCATGTTGATCTGCGGTGATGAATCGTTTCTCTGGATTCTAAGTTTGTTCTAATTCCTTCTCTCTTCTCTTCCTTCTCACAAGATAATTCTAAATACTCCATAATTCATAAGATAGAAGGAGTTTCTATGGAAAATAATTTAAAAAGTATGATATTGGTCTAAATAGTGAGGAAGCAAAGTATTGGTCTATGGTAATAATAAACTGGACAGACAGACAGACAGACGCGGCAAGAACGACATCAGGGAAAGATGGACAGAGACATTAAAGGCCTGGGACAGGAAATGTGTCTGAATCTCGCTCCAGCCTGCATGTAAACGGTTTCACAGCAAGTCCTCCAGTCCAGCCATACGACTCCACGGTTGTCATTCAGAAGCAGGGAGGAGATGGGAAGCAGCGGCTTGTTGACATCAACTCCAGGAGATTTGAGACGGTCAGCCAGCTGAGGCCACGGGGAGCCAGACTCATCCATCCATCCGTCGTCTGACACCTGGTCCCTAGTGGGGTCAGGAGGAACTGCTGCCTCTCCAGGCAACGTTCTGGGCGAGAGGCGGGGTCACCTGGACAGGTCACCAGTCCGTCACAGGGCAACACAGAGACAGACAGGACACACAACCATGCGCACACACACACACCTAGGGCCAATTTAGAGAGACCAATTAACCTGACAGTCATGTTTCTGGCCAGTGGGTTGAAGCTGGAGTACCCAGAGAGAACCCAGGGGCCGGGAATCGAACCCAGAACCTTCTTGTTGAAAGGCAACAGTGCTACCGACTGTGCCACTGTGCAGCCTGAGCCAGACTCAGAATAAACAAATTGTCTGTAGATTTCCATCAGCCCTCGAGTCTCAACCAGTACATCTGTTAATTGCAATCATCCAAATTTAGTGTGGAAAGAATGGCATCCAACTGGCGTCTCTGTCCCACAGAATCAATCTCAGTGTTTGCTAGTCGGCACAATCCGTCACAAATTAGTCGATATTCCAGGTTTCCACCAACTCCTAACAGCAGAAACTCTGTTATCATGAATCCAAATAAGTTAGTTGTTTAGCAGGTTAGTCGTTTAACAGATTAGAGGTTTAGTGGTTTAGCAGGTTAGTGGTTTAGCAGGTTAGTGGTTTAGCAGGTTAGTCGTTTAACAGATTAGAGGTTTAGTGGTTTAGCAGGTTAGTGGTTTAGCAGGTTAGTGGTTTAACAGGTTAGTGGTTTAGCGGGTTAGCGGTTTAACAGGTTAGCGGTTTAGTGGTTTTGCAGGTTAGCCTGTGGATGTGTTGTGCCTGGAGTCAGTCAGTCAGTTTTGTGCTATTTATTCTTCATAAATTCACTTAGTAAGATTTTTAGATTTTCATCCTTCACAACTTTCAGAGGAAACCCTGCATATTTCCAGGTTCTGGTCCTCATCAGGAACTAGAACCCGGTTCATCCGACCCGGTTCCCCTCTGTCCCTCCGTCTCACCTGTCTCCGGCATGCCCTGGTTCCGCTGCGTCCTGCAGATCAGAACCTCCTTGGCAGAGATGAAGAAGATTCTGCCAGCGGCCCGGTCCGGTTCAACGACCCGCAGCTCCTCTGACAGGAAGCTGATGCAGCGGTCCAGGTGCTGCTTCCTCACCTGGGCAGCGAGAGCCGGAGGGGGCGGGGGGTGGTTAGGAAACGTGAGCAGCGGCGTTGTCATGGTAACGGCTCCTCACCTGGTCGATGAGCTCAGGCTCCGTCACCGAGGCGTCCCAGCGGTTATGGAGGATGAAGACGTTCGGCTTGGAGATCCGCTCACTGACCTTATGGAAGAACAACTTCTCCTGGACAGAACCGGACCAGAGCTGGGTCAGCTACTAGATCCAGGGTCAGAACAAAACTGGGTCACGGCAGAACAGGGTCAGAATCAAGTAAGCGACCAGAACCAGATCAGAACAACCGGGCCAGAGGTCCGATCAGAGGTCTCCACCAGGTTCTGTTGATGCAGATGCTGGACAGGCCGAGAGCGCTGATGCTCCAACCCGACCAGAACCAGACCTCTTCCACTGTCTGCAGTTGGATCCTTTCAGTCGAACCGGTTCTTCACCAGAACCTGAACCCATCCAGTTTTGTTTGATGGATCTTCTTCCAGGTGAAGCTCTGCCTCCGTCTGTTCTGATCTGGTCGGGTTCTTGCCTAATGGACCGGATCTGGCTGAGCAAGACCAGACCTGGGCTCAGAGATATTGGGTCCGGTTGGGACTGGATCAGAACCTGCTTAGATGTCAAAATCACTTCCTGAGGAAGAACCGCCTGCAGATCTGGACCTGTGGTCAGAATTCTGACCGTTTCATGAAACCGGTTCTGGTTCCGGTTCTTTTTATTATTGAATATTTTTTGTGGATACTTCTGATTAGAGAAAACATTTGGACACCCTGGACTAGACCTTGGTCTGGTTCTGAGCTCAGCTTCCTGAACCGGACCTGCCGGAACCAGGAGGAACCAGAGCGTCCGGCCCTTTAAGAGACCTGATGATGATGATGAAGTGGCCTTCCTCACCGTGTTCATCAGCGTGGACTCGGCGTTCCCCACCAGAACGAAGACGTCGGCGTCCAAACAGAACTTATCGATCCAGCTGTCCAACTCCAGGGTGACGTCTGTCCCTGGGCTGCCAGGGGTCAGAGGTCAGAGTCAATCTGAATCTCTCTGGTTCTGACAAAGACTTCAGGAGGACTCCCTCAGAACCCAGACGGCTCGGTGGTTATTTATGGAGGAATTTTCCTGCCATAATCCAAGATCACATATTTTCATTTTGAAAGCAGGACTTCATGTCTGTCTTCTCCAAACTTCTTCTCGTGCTCACACTTAGTCTCTGCTCGCTGTTGAAACACCTTTTGGCTCAGTCACCTGGCAACCTCTCAGCCAATAGAATGAAAGTGTTGTCATTCTATTAGCAATGACAACATTGCCAATAGAATGGTAAACACAACCCCTGCGTTTTTCTTAGGGGTTGCGTTCCGAAATAACCCGCGATAAGCAAAATCCGTGAAGTAGTTACCTTTAGTTTTTACAGTTATTACAGAGCATAGTTAAATACTCTACATTGAAACC